AAAGCTAATGGAAATTGAGCTACCTTATGATCCAGCTATCCCTCTACTGGGAATATACCAGAAGAGGTAAGAAATTGACCACCACCAGTCATCTGTGCTCCAATGTTTATTGCAGAAAATTCACAATAACAAAGAATTGAAAACAACCTAAATTTCCATCGATAGACGAGTGGATTAGAAAAGCCTGGCACATCAAACCCAACCCAGGGATACGTATGGCAGCCAACTAAAAAGGAGGGAGGAAAAAGAGAGGAGAGAGAGAGAGAGGTGGCAGGGGAACAGGCCACTAACCCACACAAGGGGTGGGTGTTTTTTATATATCCTCAGGAGAGGAAGAGAGGGACAAGACTTCAACCTGGTGCACCAAGATGTGAATGCAACATACAGGCATGAAACAGGGAGCCAATAGAGAGGTCTGTGGGGCCGGCCCCCAATCCTAACTATGTGGGCACCCCACCCCAGAGGAATTCACTTTAGGAGAGAACACTGAAGCAGTTCAGGAAGAGGGGGTGCGTCTGATCAGGAGCAAATGGAGAAGAAAGGAGAGAGGAACACATCCCGGCCCACCAACCCCTGAGAACAATATTTCAGCTCAGAGTACCCAATGCACAGAGAGGATCACAAGGCTGGCCTCGCCACAAGACATGATGATGTTCCTCATTGACACATAGCACTGAGGCGGACAGCACTGGGGACATGGTACAGGAGATGTGCCTGATCTGACCCCACTGCACTGGGATGAAACACTAAGGGCAGTGGGGCAGCAAGGGGAGCAAAGCAATGAAGTTCCCGAAGAATTCCAAAGGTGGACTTTGGGCCAGGGAATGGCACCCCAGTGGACTTGAATGGAAACACGCATAAAGGTCAATAGACAAACCAGGAATTGTTTGAGGGCTTTAATTATTTTGCTGTGGGTTTTTAATTTTTCTATTTATTTTTTTGTTTTGTTATATTAGCTTTTTTCTTTTTTGTTATGATTTGCTTTGCTTTGTTTTGTGCATATTATTATCTATGCATATCTATCTGGACAAGATAGGCAGGATGAACAATCTTGAGGAGAGAACAATGGGTCTGCTGGTTCTGGGATAGGGGGAGGTGGGGAAAGGGGGGGTGTCCCAAAAAACCCAGGGACAAGGAAAGACCAAGTGATCTAAAATTGATGGCAAGGAGGACATAGGATGCTTAGAGGGACTTTATCAGGGGTAATGTATCCAAGAAGAATTATGAAAACCTGAATGAAGGGCAACATGAGTGAGACAGGAGGAAAGCAAAAAGAAATAGAGGAAAAAACGGGAGGCAAAGGACATTTACAGAAGTCTAAATACAGGCATGTATATATGTAAATGCATTTATATATCATGATAGGAGAGTAGATCTAGGTACATATATTTATTTATGAAGTA